CGTAAGAGAGGCAACAGATTGATGTTTCTCTCTCACATCAGTAAGCATGTCCTTTGGTGAAGATTTAAAAACAAAAAAAGAAAAACTATGATTACAAGAAACCTACACTTAGACTTTGTAGTTTAATATGTAATTGGCTTCTATGGAGGGATCTTTTATATATAAGTAAAGGACTGGTTGGGGGTGGTGTAATGACGGTGAGGGTACAGCCTAAATACAAAGAATTATTGTCACAACTAGGCAACAATCTGACCTTTACAGAAATAAAAGACCTAATCACCTGCCCTAGCTGGTTGGGGCTCAGTGCTGGCCTGTGAACCAAAAGGTCACCAGTTCAATTCCTAGTCTAGGGCACAGGCCTGGGTTGCAGGCCCGGTCCCCAGTAGGGGGCACGTGAGAGGCAATCACACATGGATGTTTCTTTCCCTCTCTTTCTCCCTCCCTTACCCTCTCTCTAAAAATAAATAAATAAAATCGTAAAAAATAGAAAAAGACGTAATCCCCGATTCCTTTTGTAAGAATGTCTCTCAGCATTTGCAGACAACTCATCCTTTGGGGCTGACTGATTATGTGACATAAAGGCACATATGTGAATAAGACTGTACAAAATATCCAAATCCCAAAATGGAGGAGTCTGCCAGCACAGCACATTATTCCCTTAACCTCTAGAATTTTTTTAACTTAGTAAGAACCATAAAAGGGAGACCCACCCATGCAATAATAAAAGTGCCCTATTTTACAAGCAGTATTTTTGGCTCCCAGTAATTCTTAATTTAAAATTTTTAACTCATGTCATATTAATCACATACTGTACTGGATATGCAATAAAGCTATTCATAATCTGTAACTTCAGATACAAACTACATTAAGTGTCAAGACCAGTCTTATTAAATTGTTTAAGAAGAAACAACACAGTACAGCAGAAAAGTTGAGGATTTGTAAATTTCTAAGAACTTTTCTTACTAGAGTATAATTTTTTGTGAGTATTTGAATACTGAAATACAAGTTTTTTTCTTTTGTTTTTCCTTTGTATTATATTAAGGTTATTATCGAATTTTAAAAATTATGTCTGTAGGTACATTAAATTATCCTGATTTTACTTTAAAAGAATTAAACATTTGTTAAAAAGAACAGATGTTAGTTTATGACAGTATGGATGGACCTAGAGGGTATTATGCGAAGTGAAATAAGTCAGTCAGAGAAAGACCAATACCATATTATCCCACTTGTAGGTGGAATCTAAAGAACAAAATAAATGAGCAAACAAAATAGAGACGGACTGATAAATATAGAGAAGAGATGACTGACAGAGAGGCAGGGGGTTGGGGACTGGGTGAAAAGGGTGAAGGGATTAAGAAGTACAAATTCATAGTTACAGAATAACCACAAAAATGTAAACTACAGCATAGAGAATATAGCCAATAATATTATAATAACTATGTGTGGGTACTTCATCAGGGGGAATACTCTGTAAAGTACATGACTATCTAACCACTATGCTGTACATCAGAAACTAATACTAAATAATATTAAATGTAAACTGTAACTGAAAAAAAAAGGAACAGATGTTTGTTCTCTGTCCTTACACACACATAAAATAGTTATGTGAAGGCACATTCCACTTAGAAAAATATTACGGTAGTCTCCCTTATCTGAGGATATATATTCTAAGACCCCTAGTGGACTGCGTAAAACCATGGACAGTACCGAACCCTACATACAGTTTTTTCCAACATATACACACCTTTTAATTTAAAGGAAGCCCTCTATGGTTTCTCTTTGGCATATCCAAACTGCCTGCATTACTGTTCTTGTGCTTTGGATACATTATTAAGTAAAGTAAGGGTTATGTGAATACAAGAACTGTGATACCTCAACAACTGATCTGATAACGGAGATGGCTACTAAGTGACTAAGGGTCAGGTAGTATGCACAGATAGCATGTGGATATGCTGGACAAAGGAATGGTCTGCAGCCCAGGCAGGACAGAGCAGGATGACTTGAGATTTCATCATGCTACTCAGATCAGTGTGCAATTTAAAACTTATGAATTGTTTATTTCTGGAATTTTCCATTTAATATTTTTAGACTGCAGCTGACCCCAGGTAATTCAGATCACAGATAATTGAAACCACAGAAAGCAAAACTGCAGGTAAAGGGAGACTCCTGTACATTCAGAACATGATGAGACATAGCTCATTATAATCCAAGAAGTGTTGGAGTACTGTTGAGTTTAACCATCCAATGATACGAATGAGCTCACAATTCAGAGGGAAGCTTCACAGGAAATGGAGACTGTCAAATGGATCTTAAAACTGGGTGGATCTTAAATAAAAAGAAAGAAGGGACAGAAGTAATTCAAGAGAGGATAGCTATTAATACCACAGTGGGAAGAAAGCACATTTTTGAGAAATAGATAAACAGGTCAGACTATCAAGAGAGTGTTCAGGAAGAGTAGAAAGATAGGACCCAAGTATAGAGTTTGAATGCCAGGCTAAGGAGTCTAGATTTCATTCAATGGTGGGAAACCAAAAGCTTCATGAGCAGGAGACTAATAATACACAAGTTGTGGTGTTAAACAGCAGAAAGAAGCAGGCAGAATGGTTTGTGGGGAAAATCACTTAGGATGAACTAGTAAATCAGATATAAACTGCAAAGGGCCCAATAAAATATAGAGGAGGAGACCAAAGTGAAACCATTAATTGGTTGAACTTGGTAACTGATTAGAAATAGACCGTGCCCCCCAAAAAGCACAGCAAGTTGTCAGAACTTAACTGCAAATGTTAAGGCCTGTGGCAAGTAGAATACAGACAATATCATTAAGAAATAAAGTGTATCAGACTTCCGCCAAGATGGAGGCACAGGTGGAGACGCTGTGCTTTCTCACACAACCAAGTTTAGCGACAACTAAATATTAGCAACAGAAAACACAGCCAGAACACAGAAAATTGAACTTTTCGGAAGTCTGTTAAAAACGAATTCTTCAGCCTGACCAGTAAGGGGCAAAACCAGCAGCTGGTGGAGCAGGGTTGCACAGGAAAACTCGGTCAGACGGACTCAAGGTGCGCGGAATCCAGGCGCAGGGTTGGACCTAGTGAGAGACCCAGTGAGCGGAGCGACCTCGGGAAACAGCGAGGGAGCAGGGCTGCGGGTTGACTGTGGTCGCGCATTCATGCGTGGACAGACAAGCGAGGGAGTGGGCGATTGGACAGGACCCAGTGGGTCCCCAAGGCGAGCAGCAGCGGAGGGTGCCACCATCTCCCCGCTCTGACCCCGCCTCCACATACAGCGTCATAACCCAGCCACTCTGAGTGGCCCGGCCCTGGTGAACCACCTAAGGCTCTGCTCCTCATCCAGTGGCGTGAAACAGCAGAGGGGGCCGCCATTTTCCCCGCTCTGACCACACCCCCACATACAGCGTCGGAACCCAGCAACCTGGGAGTCCATGGCTCCGCTCCTCATACTTAACAGGCGCGAACAGACCAAAAATGGCTCAAGAAGATCTCAAAGCCCCAGAGCCTATAAATCTAAGCGATGAAGAAATAGCAAAACTCTCAGACACACAGTTTAAAACGCTGGTCATCAGGATCCTCACAGAACTGGTTGATTATAGCCACAAATTAGAGAAACATATGAAGGCTAAACTAATTGAAATGAATGGAATTGCACAGGAAACCAATAGCGATGAAAAGGAAACTGGGACTCAAATCAATGGAGTGGACCAGAAAAAAGCAAATAATGGCCAAACAGAAAAGAGTGAAGAAGCAAGAATTCAAAAAAACGAGGAGAGGCTTAGGAACCTCCAGGACATCTTTAAACGCTCCAACGTCCGAATTATAGGGGTACCAGAAGGAGGAAAAGGAACAGCCACCAGTGGAAAACTTATTTGAACAAATAATAAAGGAGAATTTCCCCAATCTGACAAAGGAAATAGACTTCCAGGAAATCCAGAAAGCTCAGAGAGTCACAAAGAAGTTGGACCCAAGAAGAAACACATCAAGGCACATCATCATTACAGTAGCCAAGATTAAAATGAAGGAGAGAATCCTAGAAGCAGCAAGAGATAAGGGGACAGTCACCTACAAAGGAGTTCCCATCAGACTGTCAGCGGATTTCTCAAAAGAGACCTTACAGGCAAGAAGGGGCTGGAAAGAAGTATTCCAAGTCATGAAATCTAAAGACCTACATCCAAGATTGCTCTATCCAGCAAAACTTTCATTTAGAATGGAAGGACAGATAAAGTGCTTCTCAGATAAGATCAAAATCAAGGAGTTCATCAACACTAAGCCCTTATCATATGAAATGTTAAAGGGACTTACCTAAGAAAAAGAAGTTAAAAAAACATGAACAGTGAAAGGACAGCAAACTCACAATTAACAAACACACCTAAAACAAAAGCAAACTAAAAGGACAGTTAGATCAGGAGTGGAAACATAGAAATGAAGATCTCAAGGAGGGTTAGCAACAGGGAAGTGGGAGGAGGAGGAGGAGAAGGGGGGGAGAAGGTACAGAAAATAAGTAGCATAGACAGTAGATAGAAAATAGAGTGGGGGGCAAGAATAGTATGGGAAATATAGAATCTAAAGAACTTGAGACACATGGTCATAAACTAAAGGGGGGGTAATGGTGGGAACGGGGGGGTAGGGTGGAGGGGAATGAAGGGGGGAATAGAACAACTGTAATGGCATAATCAATAAAAAAATAAATTAAAAAAAAATAATAAAGTGTAGCTTCCAAGGAAGCAGTGCCAGCTAAGACATGTTGACTTTAAAGGCACCTCCCAGGTAGATGTATGCCCAGTAGGTAATAAGAGAAAAAATGGCATTAAATTCAATAGAGAAATTAAGTCTAGGGGCAAGAATGAATTGATGGTGCTAGATTTAATTAAAGAAAATCCCTATATCTATTGTAAAAATCATCTGATATGTTTTAGAAATTACTTGGTAATTTATTCTGTCAAAGATATGAGCAGTCCATTAAAACAAAAGTGTCTGGTTAAGTTTCCACAGGCTGAAAGTTCCAAGAGGTGAACCAAACAGCAGGCTGATTCCACACAATGAAAACGTTCAGGTAGGTCTGCTGTAATGACTCACCTTGATAACTGTCACCCTAGGCCATAATCAAACACCTACTTGGTAGCAAACAGTATGTTAATTGTGAAACATTTCCAACAAAAATTTAAAGCTGTCCACACCTCTTAGGACTATTCACTACTAGATAAAGGCCACGAGTCTGAAACAAAATCCCCGGTGCCCCGAGTTACCTTCCCACAGCACCAGTGGGTATCCCATGATATAAGTCACGTAACCCTCAGAAGCTAAGAGCAATTATGTTTGAGTGACCTTGAATATTCACATTGAAGAGGTAGAATGTAAAGTGGTTATGTTAAATCTAAGCAACCTAAAGTGTCTAATTACACATGTCTTAAACACATTAAGCGTTAATGAATAGAGACAGCCAGGGCAGTGTGGTGGGGCAGAGGTTAATCATGGTCATCCTTAAGTTTCATCTCCAAGGGGGGTTTAAAAAAATATCTGAAGTTACCTGAAATAAGAGATAAAACTTTTACAGTCACATATTATACTGTGACTGGATAGGATTTTATCTATTGTAAGAGAAAACCCTAATGAATAAAAATAAGTATTCTTGAATATTAAATAGATAATATAGGATATCACTGTGAAACTGCATTAGACAGGAAAACCTAACACAAAATCCCTTTATGGAAGATAATGAAGTAATGACTCAGAGGAAGGGCAGGGAGGCCCTGAGAAAGCCAAGAAGGAATGGACACCTATCAGAAACAGCCTTATGTGCTTGGATCACCTGTATGCCACCTACCATATCAGCTACAACAATGGCAAAGCGGCACATGACTTTGGGCCATTTCTATAATAAAAGAATCCAAACTACAAAATTGTGTATGTGGGGGAGGAGAGGCAGGGGAGGTGTATTAAGCTGTACTTTTTTTTTTTTTTTACTAAGGTGCATTTTAACTTCAAAAGAACAATAAACTATTTTTTTGCATAGTTCTGTCTCACTTTCAAATGCAAGGTAATTAAGACTTCAAAACATTCAGAAGGCAACACTGAATAATTTTAAAGAATTGTTATTTTCAATGTAAAAGAAATGGCTGTTCTTACATATGTACTGCATATTAAGAAACATTCATAGCAAACTTGAGTGTGGAAGCAATACAAAATAATTCAGAGGTGTTAAACTTTAAGAAATAGCTTCACAACTGTCACTACTCTGGGCAAGGTTTTCAGCTTTAGAGTTTGTTTATTTATACCTAATAACTCTTTATATATCTGATGGATGATAGACTTTCTCAAACTCAGATTCTATGGTATGTTGGGTAAAATTATTCCATGGTGGGAAGACGATTTAATCACCAGCAGTAACCAAAACTCAAGCATTTATTAGCTGAATAAGACTACTGTGGCTTGGTCTTACTCCCTGAGTAGGAGCCCAAACCTCAGGTTTTCTAAAACAATTGCTATTGAAGTGAACTACAAATGAAAATAGAAACAAGGAAACTTCCAAAAGCACAGATGCATTCACCTATCCTAACTTCATTATGGTGGAGATTCAATTACTTGACAACATATTTTCAGGTGATCAGCATTATTCTAGGCACTGGGGATGCAGCGGTGAACAAAAACAAAGTTCCTACCCTTATGGAGCTACAACTCCAGTGTAAACTGGAATATTTCACAGGCTGAATGCACTCACTGTGACCTTTCCCCCCTACTTATTAGAACCATGCTTTGAAAAAGATAAAAAGGAACAATAAATATGAAATTGAGGCAGTGTTCTGACTGTGAGAGCCCCAAACAAGGAGGAAAAAACCCTGCATCTCTTTTCTACCTCTTTTGTTTTTTAAATTACTTTTTAAAAAGACTTTATTTATTTATTTTTAGAGAGCGAGGAAGGAAAGGAGAAAAAGAGGAAGAGAAACATCAATGTGTGGTTGCCTCTCCCACTCCCCGCAACTAGGGGCAACCCAGGCACGAGCCCTAACAGGGAATCGAACCAGTGACTCTTTGTTTCTCAGGGCTGCACTCAATCCACTGAGTCACACCAGCCAGGGTCTACCTCTTTTGGAAACGCTAAGTAAAGTCTGAGTTTTCAGATATCCAAAGGCAAATTCATGATCAGCGTACTAGCATTCCTCTGCCAGCTGCAGGACACAGATAAACAGCTAAAATATTATCATTTCCTAAGCAATAAACACAACCTTCTCCTTGAAAAACAAAATCCAGTATGTTTTCAGAAATCATCAGCTGAACTCCATGTTATAATCACACTCCGTATCAAAAAGTCTTTTACTGGTTAAAAAGTCTCTTGAACCAGCAACACTATAATAATATCCACTATAACAAGTAAAATCTTCATTTCAATAGATAATGACCGAAGATCTTGGTAATTCTGTGACTATAGACTACATTAGTAGTATACAGTGTGGTTCATTAGGCCTGGGGCCGGGGGGGGGGGGCGGCCGGGGGTAAGTGCAGACATAGGTTTTGTTTTGTTTTATTTTGTTTTAGTGTGGGAGAAGTTCTGAATACATCCCTCAAATGAGGTTCTGCAAGAGAATTTCAAATAGGTGGTGAGCGATCAACACTTAAGATCATTTGTCTTCATTTAGGTGGCTAAAATACCCCAAAATCTGAGAAGTCAAAGGCAAAGTACTGTAATTGTGCTCTAGCATTTTTTTAAAAAGATTTTCTTTCTTTTTTTTCTTTCTTTCTTTATTCTTAGAGAGGGGGAAGGGAGAGAGAAAGAGAGGGGGAAAAATATCAGTGTGTCGTTGCCTCTTGCACTCCCCCCTACTGGGGGACCTGGCCAGCAACCCAGGCATGTGCCGTGACTGGGAACTGAACCAACAACCCTTTGCTTCACAGTCCAGTGTTCAATCCACACCAGCCAGGGCTGCTCTAGCATTTTTAAATATTAAGATTTAGTTACAAGTGCAGGTGTACCTTCTTGCATTTTGCATCTCAAGTAAGCAAAAGGAAGCCTAACTATGTTCTCAGAAAAGATTAACTGTGATCAAAGCATCATCAGCAAATTTGATCTATACCTTTTAAAATCACTCATTTTACAAGAATTTTTCCTTTTAAACTTAATCCTTATGCAAGGGGTGAGAAGGGGGAAAAGCATAAATCACACACAAAGTCTTGGTGAAGATATTTCTGGTGGTGAACAAAACAATTAAAACTAAAGATCACATACAATCTTCAAAAAAAAAAACAATTAAATAATGTTACTTCCAGCCAAGATGGAGGCGTAGGAAGAAACACTATACCTTCTTGCACAACCAAGTTTATGAACAACAAATATTTAAAAACCAGAACACAACCAAAACAGAGAGAAAATTGAACTGTACCGAAGTCTGACAACAATGAACCATTCATCCAGACCGGTAAGAGGGGCGAAGTCAGTGGCTATCACAGCGGGTTGCGCAGGAAAAAGTGGCCAGACCGACCCAGGCACGCAGGCAGAGGTTGGCATATCCCAGGCGTGCAGTGGCAACGGGCAGACCCAGTGAGGGTGCAAGGCGGCTGGCTGACCGTGGTCACACATTCGTGTGCAGATAAATCAGGCAGGCTTAAAAATGGTCAGTGAGACAGACCAAGCAACCCAGGGGCCCAGTGATGGGAAATAAAGCCTAAAAGCACCAATTGGAAAAACTTTTGGGGGTTGAGGTACCAGGAGAGGCTCCCAGGCTCACAGAGAGTTTGTTGGAGAGACCCACAGGGTTCTGGAGGGTACACAAGATTACACATCTGGGCACTAGCACCAGAAGGGCCTAATTTGCTTGTGGGAAGGGGCAGAGGGGACCAAAATCTGAGAGAGAACAGAAAAACGCCATTGCCCCTCTCTGACCTTGCCCCCACATATGGTGTCATGACCCAGCGACTGGGTTGCCCCACCCTGGCGAACACCCAAGGCTCCGTCCCTCACATGTAACAGGTGCAAACAGACCAAAACATTATGGCTCAAGCAGAAGAACAGCTCAAAGCCCCAGAGCTAATACTTCTAAGCAACCAAGAGATAGCCAACCTATCAGATGCACAGTTCAAAACACTGGTGATCAGGATGCTCACTGGTTGATTTTAGTCTCAGATGAAAAAATGAAGGCTACACTAAGTGAAATGAAGCAAAATGCACAGGGAACCAGTAGTGATGGAAACAAATCTGGGACTCAAATCAATGCAGTGAACCAGAAGGAAGAAGGAAATGATCAAACAGAAAAGAATGAATAAACGACAAAACTGTCACTGTTTGCAGATGACATGACAGTGTACATGGAAAATCGTATAGACTCTACCAAAAAACTGCTCGAACTAATTAATGAGTTTGGCAAAACAGCAGGATACAAAGTCAATATCCAGAAATCAAAGGCATTTTTGTATACTAACAATGAATCAGCAGAAGCAGAAATCAAGAAAAAAATCCCATTCAATATAGCAAAAAGAAAAATAAAATATCTGGGAATAAACCTAACCAAGGAGATAAAAGACCTGTATGCAGAAAACTACACAGTACTGAAGAAAGAAATCAGGGAAGACACAAACAAATGGAAACATATACCTTGTTCATGGATTGGAAGAATTAACATCATCAAAATGTCCATACTACCCAAAGCAATATACAGATTCAATGCAATACCTATTAAAGTATCAATGGCATATTTCACAGACATAGAGCAAACACTTCAAAAATTTATATGGAACCATAAACAAGCCCGAATAGTAGCTGCACTTTTGAGAAAGAAGAACAAAGTAGGAGGGATCACAATACCTGATTATCAAACTGTATTACAAGGCCACTGTAATCAAAACAGCCTGGTGCTGGCATAAAAACAGGCACACAGACCAATGGAACAGAACAGAGAGCCCAGAAATCAACCCAACTCTCTACAGTCAATTAATATTTGACAAAGGGGGCAATAACATAAAATGGAGTAAAGACAGCCTCTTCAACAAATGGTGTTGGGAGAACTGGACAGCTACGTGCAAAAAAATGAAACTTGAGCACCAGCTTACACCATACACCAAAATAAATTCAAGGTGGATAAAAGACTTAAATATAAGCCGTGACACTATTAAATTTCTAGAGGAAAACATCGGCAAGAAAATCTCAGATATTTCACGCAGCAACATTTTTACTGATATGTCCCCTAGAGCAAGGAATATAAAGGAAAGAATAAACAAATGGGATCTCATCAAAATAAAAAGCTTCTGCGTGGCTAAAGAAAACAGTATTATATTAAAAAGACAACCAACTGTATGGGAAAATATATTTGCCAATGATACCTCAGACAAAGGTTTAATCTCCAAAACATACAAAGAACTTACACGACTCCACTCTAAGAAGGCATATAACCCAATTAAAAAATGGGAAAAGGACTTGAACAGACACTTCTCCAAGGAGGACATACAGAATATCCAGAGACACATGAAGAGATGCTCAATATCGTTGGCTATCAGAGAGATGCAAATTAAAACCACAATGAAATACCACTTTACACCAATCAGGATGGCTATCATCAATAAAGCAACAAACAACAAATGTTGGACAGGTTGTGGAGAAAAGGGGTCCTTCGTTCACTGTTGGTGGGATTGCAGAGTGGTACAACCATTAGGGAAAACAGTATGGAATTTTCTCAGAAAAATAAAAATCGACCTGCCTTTTGACCCAGCAATTCCACTGCTAGGATTATATCCTAAGAATCCTAAAACATCAATTTCAAAGAACCTATGCACCACAATATTCATAGCAGCACAATTTACAATAGCCAAGAGTTAGAAGCAACCTAGGTGCCCGACAGTAAATGAATGGATCAAAAAATTGTGGTACATATACACAATGGAATTCTATGCAGCAGAGAGAAAGAAGGAGCTACTACCCTTTGCAACAACATGGATGGAACTAGAAAGCATTATGCTGAGTGAAATAGGCCAGGTGTTGAAAGACAAACACCATATGATCTCACCTTTAACAGAAAGCTAAACAACAAAATGAATAAGCAAGCAGAATAAAAACAAAGACACTGAAATAGAGAACAAGAGGACAGTAACCAGAGGGGAGAGAAAAGGGAATTTAAGGGGGAAAGGGGGGAGGGATTTGGAGGAACAAATGTGAAGGACACACGGACGAGAGCTGGGGGGGGTGGAGATGGGAGGGAAGTGGGGAGCACGGGACGGGGGGGGGGCTGGGATGGGAAAAATACACAAAAAACTGTACTTGAAAAATAACTAAATAAAAAAAAAAAGAAACGAGAATTCAAAAAAATGAGGAGAGGCTTAGGAACCTCCAGGACATCTTTAAACGTTCCAACATCTGAATTATAGGGGTACCAGAAGGGGAAGAGGAACAGCCACCAGTGGAAAACTTATTTGAACAAGTAATAAAAGAGAACTTCCCCAATCTGGCAAAGGAAATAGACTTCCAGGAAGTCCAGGAAGCTCTGAGAGTCCCGAAGAAGTTGGACCCAAGGAGGAACACACCAAGGCACATCATCATTACATTAGCCAAGATTAAAATGGAGAGAATTCTAGAAGCAGCAAGAGATAAGAGGACAGTCATCTACAAAGGAGTGCCCATCAGACTGTCAGCTGATTTCTCAAAAGAGACCTTACAGGCAAGAAGGGGCTGGAAAGAAGGATTCCAAGTCATGAAAGGCAAGGACCTATATTCCAAGATTGCTCTATCCAGCAAAGCTTTCATTTAGAATGGAAGGGCAGATAAAGTGCTTCTCAGATAAGGTTAAGTTCAAGGAGTTGATCATCACCAAGCCCTTATTATATGAAATGTTAAAGGGACTTATCTAAGAAAAACAAGGTAAAAAATATGAACAGTGAAAGGACAGCAAGCTCACAGTTATTAACAACCACACCTAAAACAAAAGCAAACTAAGTAGACAGCTAGATCAGGAGTGGAACCATAGAAATGGAAATCACATGGAGGGTTAGCAACAGGGGAGTGGGAGGAGGAGAGAGGGGGGAAAAGGTACAGAGAATAAGTAGCACAGATGGTAGGTAGAAAATAGACAGGGGGGAGAATAACATGGGAAATGTAGAAGCTAAAGAACTTGTGACACATGGACATGAACTAAAGGGGGGAATGTGGGGGAAGGAGTATGCAGGGTGGAGGGGAATGAAGGGGGGAAATGGAACAATTGTAATGGCATAATCAATAAAACATATTTAAAAAATAAAAAGAAAAAAATAATTTTAAGAATGTAAAAATTTCTCTTTGTGTTCTGACCTCCACTTTATAACCACTTCTATGTAGAATACATTCACTTCGTACTACTAACTCAAATATAATAAGTCATTAATAGAATTGTAAGGACTTTCTATGAGTAATTTGCAATGTTATTTTCAGCCTCCATGTCCACCATTTAAAAAAAAATCACAAGGTAGGTATCATTATACTACTGAAATTAAGAATTTAAAATCTAACTTTATAAGGCAGCATTTAAGTTCACCATCTTGGATGA